GAAAGTGCGGCGGTTGCCATTCTCTTCGTGTTCATGCATCCTTCTCTCGTCTCTCCTCCTCCTCCTCCTCCCCCTCCTCCTCCTCCTTGTCCTCATTCTCACCTCCTTGTCACTGATGGTGGAGGGGAGGAGGTCGCACTTTGAGAACGAGTTTAGAGGAGTGGAAAATGAGAGGATGGTAGATGGGATGCCTTGACAACTGATGTGTTCATTTGTGTGGAGGTGGGTGATGTGTGGGGATCGGCATCGTGGGTCGGCGGCAGTTTGAAGTATGTGACGGCGACGTGGTTTCGTGTGAGTGCACAATGTGGAGATGTGAGGACGACAACCTCGTGCAATGCATGATGCTGCTGATCAGAGTGCTCTCCTAATGACTCGCGTGGCTGCTCTCTCCTTGACCTCACGTCAGGCTTTAATAGCGGTCAGCTTGGCAGTGCGGTTACTGTTGGGGCTGCTTACTTTTGTGGTGATGATGGCTGTGCATAATGAATAGAAAAAAGTTTTGTAAGTGCTAAGCATATTCAAACTTAATTACAATCAAATACCCACAATGTTGTAGCCAAGACGCAGCTGACCTTTCTTCTTCCTCCTCCTCTTCAGTCTGTTTTGTTGCCTTAAAAAGGAAGCAGTGTCGGTATAATTTTGTGGATGACGGTCGGTGCCACCAGACTCAGGACTGGGCTTTCCATCTGAGGGGCAAGGGACTACAGCCTCTTCCTGGTGGCAGTCCCTTTGCATTTGTCCTCCTTCATTGTTTTACAGTCACAGCTCAAACAGGCGAGACGGCAACAGTCTTTTGCATGCCCCAAGCTGCAAGAAGGTGTCGTTTGTTGTCAAAAAGGCCAAGGTGGCCCAACTTTTTCCTCTAATTGTTTTTAAATCACTCCACTGGTAGTATTACCAGTTGCCTTCCCTAATCCTCCCTTTGACTGCAATGCATAGTTTGTTTATTTTCCAAATAAAGGGAATATCAAATTTTTTTACTAGTTTTAACGGCTGTTCAAAAGTTACCTGTCTCACCAACAATCGGAAGAAGTGCCATGGAAAAATCCCTTCCGTTTGGCCGACGTGCTTGCCATCATGTCCGCCCACAACAGAAGGTCCGATTTTATCAACTGATCTGCCGTCTCGTCAAGGCTTTCAAGTTTCAGTGACGTTTCCATTGAAAGCACAGAAGTTCCCTTTTTGTAATCACTTGTTTGCTAAATTGATTAAAGATTTCAATTGCCGCATAATTTTTTTTGTTTGACTGCTACTTTCTACGCAGTCGGAGTGGGTCTCTGCCCCCCACATATTGTGCGTGATTAGAAGCCAAATTGGGCTGCCTTCTTTGATCCTCCCTTGCGGTCTTCTCGGTGTGCTTTTGCCTCTCTTTCTAACAAAACCCAGCGGCCTGCCACCAGCTAGGCGTCGGAAATGACTCGGCCGTGGCAGACAGTGCAATTAATGCTGAGAGTTTGCTGCAATTTACCGTTCTATGCTCGCATCACCCGACTCTGAGGTCACAGCATCGCCTCAAGTCACACGGAATGTCAAATGTGTGTTAACAAAAAGTTTTGATGTCTCTTAAATGGCTTGATTTCCAAGTACGTGCGCTCCATCAAAATACAAGCGCTTCGTTTTATTAAAAGATTTTTCAAAGGTGCTGAGGTGGATGAATTGAAAAGAAGGCATTGTGCAGGTGTCATCTTTGCAGAACTTTGACTTTAGTATAGGCACCAAAATTTTGAATCAATCAGAGGATTCAACTAACATAAGTAAATTGAAACTTTTAACAAATGTGCATCTCCTCAAGCCCTCACAAGGGAAGGTGGCCGAGACTTTTTGCCTCTGTAAGTAAAATCCCGAGGAAGATCTGCGGACCTATCGGCTTTGTTGAGATTTCGCTTTGAACAAGTTGAAGAGGTGAAATGTTGTGACTCGATAAAGTCATTCGCACTTTTGTAGTTGTTTACTCTTCAAGGCATTGGTGTGCCAAAATCACCACTTTCACTTCCTTAGTTCAACATTAGCACCTCAGGAGGTGCCTCCTTCCAGAAGGAATCCAATCTCGTTGTCAGTTGCGACTGTGTGGAGTAGCTGCTGGTAACTCGTCGCTCTTTGACCGGTGATTAATCTTGGCACCGATTTAGGTTCGCCGACTTTAAGGGTTTCATGGGCAGTGTGATGACATCCAGTCGACGGTAGAAGGAGCAGTGGATGGGAGGAGGTCTTCATCAGGCGCACAACCGCACGCTATGGAAGGGTCTTACTTTCACCTTAAATGGAGAAGCAGTCCAGACTGTCTCTGGAAAATCAAACTCTGCCCTCCACATCAAGTGTGCATTCAAAGTACTTTGAAAGAAATTGGAAGCGAAATTTTCACTGCATGGCAGCAGCAGAGGACTCTTGTCTTCCTCTGTTTACTCAAAAACATTGTATCGAGGGGAGTGTTAAAAACCTTTAAGCCTTTGCAAAAAACACTGTAGCATTTTACACACCCTAAACAGGAAGTTTGTGGCTGTCTCCTTTTTAATAAAATGACAAGAGTTTGGTTGGAATTATCAAAGGTCATATTTTGGAGGCAGTAGTGCTGAGTGCAAAACTCTTGTCCCATTTTATCCCCAACAGAATCGCTGATCTGAGTTAAACTGAATAAAAGAAAGCTAAGCATTAAAAGATAAAATGTAGATAGAAATAGGTGCGTAGTTAAGGTAACAAAAATCAAACATGTTAAAAGTGAGCGTGAAGTGATGTTGTTTGTGCCTTTGAGTGATCTTTGCCGTCACTGCATCAACTTCATCTGAATCATGGACCGTGAAAGCTTTAAGCTGAAAACCTCAAAATGAGGGTGGACAAAGTCAATGGGACGAGATCCTACAGGATTGGTGCGGTGTCGGATTTTATTGTTCTGATCCACTCAGGCGAGTGAAAACCTAGCAGACTGCTTTTACAGTATGGCTTGGGTTTACTGAGGTGGGAACGCATGCCGTGGACGCTAGCTAACATTTACGTCTGAAGAAGATCTGTGTCCGCACTAAAATCCCATAACTTAGCAGTCGGTCATTCAAATGTACTAATTATAAGACTTACGCGAGTACAAAAATGACTTAGCGCTAATCCTTGAATTGGATTAGCAGTTAAAATCGCCACCGAAATGTCTCAATTTGATGCACCTCAAATCTTTCTGGTGGCAAGCATTTGCAGGAAGCCAAAAGTAGGGCAACATCGTTTTAAGTAGACAGTCCAGACGAGGAATGCCTTAAATGGTTGGCGTTGGGGCAAACCCTCCATCCCTCACTTCATCCCAGCTTGGGACACTCACTCCGCTCCCGCGCGCCCTCGAGTGCCTACAAATTCAGCACCTTCGATTGCAATCTCTTCGCGCTTGCCGGTTTGGTGTGCCCACGCATACCGTTTGGGTGTTCAAAGGCTTCGCAAATTCCGCGGCTATGGATTTGACCAGATTTCAGCCTTCGACACCGTCACCGACTCAACCACCTAATTGAGAGGTAGAAGAGGAAGAAGAGTCCATTGACACGCTGATCGCATGAACCGCATGAGATTGGCATTCGTGATCAAACCCAGTCACCAATTCCTCGCAAATCCTGACTCTCACGTCAACCCGCGCATAAACAATTCAGCGGCACAGTTGGCAAGGCTGCGGTTTGGACTTGTACGCATTGCCATCGGTGGCGAAGTTTTGCCCACTCAAGGGAAGGTGCCATGCACAATGCGTTGCCTGTCTCCTTCTCTCTCTCTCTCGCTTTCACCACCTCTGGAGGCTCTTAACAAGTCGGTCTCGCCTCCATCATCTACTCCAGTCCAGTTTCCGGTTGGCTTGTGTGACATTGTTAAACACTCCTCGGTTAGGAAACGAACATGAGAGCAACCGAATTTTCTTGTCATTTATCACTATGTGTAGTACTGCTACAGCAGCATCCACACTTCATTGGTGTCTGTTAAAGTTATTTTTAAAAACGACTGTCTGGAAACGCTTGTCAAACGAGGCAGTGCTTGCTTGATTGGCAAACTCGTAATATGGGGGGATTTGATTATGTGATTAATTTTTGTCGATTGATGCATAAACCACATACCGCTTTGTGTTAAGAACATTTCAGTAGGAACACGTCATTATTTCCCGATCATTAGAGTATTACGAACCCTTTGGTAGGGATTTGAAGGATGTCGCATTGTGTCGGTGCTAATCACTCGCATTTTATGGATTGAAGGGTGCGGAGCACCTCCTTTCTACTATCATTTAATGTAAAATTGGAAAAGTATGGTTTGAAAGGACTTTAAACTTGCAATGACAGGGAAAATGAAACTGAAAATAAAAAGAAGGTGTCACTAAACGAAGCTTTTGTTAATCAGTTTATCTCAGCACTGTCATAGGCGCTACGAATGAATTGGTTTTAAAAGTATAAATAATTTATGCCACTTCTCCATTCCATACGGCTGGAGGGGCGGACTTTTATGTTTGCCGACATTCGCTTACAAAGGTCGCTCGAATTGGTCTGTTTGAGAAGGGCTTTATGCAAAATTTTGATTTATTTTAGACGCGATTTAGGTACTACCGCACCGACGGCTTGCAAAATTGGTAGTTTTGCTACGACCATAAGCTGAATGGCTATGAACATTGTGCTTTTGAGAGTTCTGGTGAGGAACAATTTCCCTTTTGTTGGCAATGACTTAAAAAGCAAGGCTTTTTGATTAGCAGCGTCATTAACGAAGGAATCGAAGTTTTTTCTTTGTGGAATGGACACTTATCGGGTTTTGAGGTCAAGCAGCCGTTGAAGGCTGACCCGTTTCATCGTTCACATTGTCGACCTTCCAAACACACTTTAACCATAGCCAAATGCTAATTTGCGATGTCAAACGATGAGGTCCACGCCGATGGGCTAACGCCTACCTATCAGGTGCAACAGCTGTCAAAACTGTGAGGATCCACAAGTGATGCCTTTTAAGGTGCCAAAAGTAATCACAACTTCTTCCCACAATTTTGCGGTTTCATAAGTGCCAGCACTCGAAACCGCCAAACATTCGAGTCACCAAAATGACAAGTAATGCACAATTATATGGCCAAATAAACTATTTTTTTGTATTTGGAAGAGGTAAGAGATGAGAAGGCACAAAACTGTCTGCTCTTCTTCCTCTTTTTAATGACTGCGCCATTATGCAGATGAAATCGTCAATCCCACCAACATGAACCGCTGACAGCGCTTTGAAGTTAAAGCCTCCGATTGCACAGAAGATGGGAGAGAGGGCAATGGAGTGGAAAGGATTTCGTAGAAGGAACAGTCACATCTCTATGCAAAGCAACAATGCAAAGATGAGGTGCTGAGGTGAAGGTTTTTACTCAATTCTACCCTTTTAAAGAGGTATTAGTAATGACCGGAGCATTGACGGAAGGCTAATGGTAGTTCGCCTTGCTTCTCATGCACATAAAATGGGGCTGGTGACAAAGTTTGTGCTTAAAAAACACAATCCCACGACGAATTAAATCGGCAAGCCATCTTTGCAAGCTACAAATCAGGTTGAATATGAGGCGTTTACCTTTGACAAAGGAACTTTTCCCCACCGTGGGGAGGAGGTTTAGGTCGGAGAGCAAATCGCCAGGATTTTTTTCACAGACAGCCCAGTGTGTGGTAGGGAACGGTAAACTTAAAGTAAAAATGTGACAGTCGAGTGGATATTCGGATGCCTGTCAAGCATGTGAGACAATTTGGATTAAAGATTCGGCTGATGAATTTAAGTGGTCAACAAACTTATTAGCAGCTGACTTCTTCCGTGCGGTCTTTGAAGTTGGTGACTCAAAGCCGCCACGGCTCTTCATAGTGTTGAGGGGTGCTTAAGAAGTAGTTGTCAAATAAAGAAATTTAAAGTCAGATGCATCAGTCAGTCCATCGGTTCACGACTGCTCGCCTCTCACGCTCGGAGTGCTCAACCAACAGAAGTGCATGCGGTTACAAAGCCTTACCGAGTTGTGGATACCTTCAGTACCTTAACTGGACTTTCCTAAAGAATGAGATTGTTGAAGGAACTCGGTGGAGGGCAGCAAGAACTACAATGAAAGTATTCACCACTTCCATTTTTAGGGTTTGCGAACCTCCAATTTGAGATAAAACAATTGCTGTTTTAAAAAGAGGATCAAATAAATTGTGCGAGTGATGCCGCTGATTTATTTCATTTTCAAAGAAATCACGCCTTTAAACACTACCTCCAGCCACTTTTTGTGAGTAGCTGCACTGAATTGCTTTAAGTCCACATTGAAGACAAAAAATTGCAAAACGATGCCACAGATTGTAAAGCGGCAGAAGTTTAACAGTTGCTGATTTTTCTCTGTTGTGGAAACAAGTTGTGTGGAATGTGGAAGTTATTTTGTTACGGAAAAGAGTGGTTTTGGTGAAAGGAGACTCAAAGACAACTGCAATCAGTGCAGTCCACGACCACGGCGCCAAATTTTGTCTGCCATGGAAGTCACAGCTTAAATGGGAGAGGAACAGAAGTCTTTTCCTAACTTTGAAAGGATCCCAACTTCACGCACGCAGTCTGTGCAACCTCTTCTTTTAGCACTGAGGGCACCCCTTGTTCCTTTCTGCTGTAGAAGTGAGGCAGCCACCCACTGCGGAATGCCGTGAAGCCAAACTGTCAATTATGAGGAGCCAGTACACCTGTCACACAACCTGCGAAAATAACTTTTTTCCTCTACCACTTTTATACCTCCTTCAGCGCTCTTTGTGAAAGTGGATTAAAAGCAGATGCTAAAAAGTGAGGTGAATGTGGGCTACCTTTTCACTAATGAAGATGTGATGGGATGGAGGATTGCAGTGCTGAAACCTTTTTAGTGGATCCAAACAACTTGACTCTAGCTGCGAAATGCTATCATAAAACATAACTGGTGGAGACAATCCTATCAGACAGGTGAGGAAGGAACGAGCCTGAGATGGCGATAAAAATGGAATTGCTTCAAAGATCTGGAGGACGATGGTGACTTCCCTCGTGTATCACGAAGCTGACAGGCTCTACATTCTGACGTCGGACAGTAAAAACTGTTAAAGGACACGTATTCAGACGTGAAAATGGAGTAGCATCAAGAAGTTTTACCTGCTGTCGACAAACATTGCTGAAGTTTTCTTTCCTTTCAGCGCTGAAAGCCTAAGGTAAGTTCTAAGGCGAACCACTTTTCTCGACAAACTTCTTAACATAATGGCCACTCCCAGCAGCTGTACGAATTCCGTACAAACGATTTCAGCAGTCATGCATTCAGTGCTAAGTTTGAGAGACAACATTTTAAAAACCTTTCCTTCGTTAAGTGGGGGAAATGTGCAACCCGCAAAGTTGCAATCCCGGATGAATGGACACAAAAAAAAAGGATAAGCTGGTTGCCATTCCCCACTAAGTTGCATGGATCACAACTTTTCCAGCTCCCTTTAAATGCTCCTAGCATTTATGAATATGCCAATGCCGTCCTGACTTTGTGTCTCGAGTCAACAAAACAAAGCATCGTCCAGCCACAAACAGTGAGCAATGATGGATCTTGCTTGTTAGTCTGTTTGAATGCCTTCAGAAGTCGAATTATCTGACTGTGTCTTCGTGCAGAGTTCACTCAAGTGGCCGGGAATGCAACTACAAGAACATTTAAATGGGTCACCTGTACCACCTAAAGTGCACAATGAAGGCAAGGGATCAAGGGAGATCAAGAAACAGATGACTCACTTTGGGGCAGACCTTCCGGTCACGTCAAGGTTTGAAATTAGGACCCAACAGGTGGGCCAACAGTCGTAAAGATTAATTGTCTCCAAGTGTTCCTCCATCAAACCACTGCAATCCACCTTTTAAATTACTTGACAGCACTGCCTGCACTTCCCGTTTTTTGACGTGTCACTGATACGATGGTCTCCTTTACTGTAAGGCCAGCGGAAGGAAAGCACTACTGCCTCGTTGCATTTCCAATGTCGAATACTGAAGGAAATTCGCAAACCTGAAACGATTTGCTGACGGGACCGTGCATCACTTGTTAGACAAAGAAACTTTTACGCAGTTTTTAGCCTCACGGCTGCCAATTTACGATCGCTAAAAATAAAGGAAGACATGCTTTGCACCCCACTCACATCTATGAAGGGAATCATGAAAATAATGTCGACTTGGCATTTTCTACCGAATGTCTACCAACACTATGCTTATCCCTGACAAGCAACTTCGCTCACCTTTCTCTCTATCCTGAATAAATTTGACGATTTGTCAACAATGGATCCCGCTGATTTCATCGGGAATGGAGAGACTCTCCACCCTCCGAAGTAAGGTGGTAACAAATACCTTGATGCGCCAAAAATAAGGTTTTTTAATTGCTTTTCCATCCTTTGGTCTATCGCTACGCGTCATGCTCCAAATCAGCAAGTAACACCTCGAGTCATTGGGTCACTGCCCAGAATTTTTCTCCTTAAATCTTTTTATTCTAAACTTCCAACTAGGAAAACCGGTGGTATTAATGACCGGTTAATTTCTTCTGGTAGATTAACGCTATCGTAATGGCGCATCCTAAATTGCAACCTTCTAGGCGAAAAAGATTTGCTGTCATGAAGATACTACTGCCTAATTTATTAGTAGGTATCGACAAGTGCTCCATTGGATTTAATTTGCTGACCCTAACTATGCCGACTTCTAAGTCAACATTTTCCGAGCACAAGGATGAGGAACGCACCTCAAATATTTTTAGCCTTAAGAGAACTAAGCTCAGAGGAATAAAGACCAATTGAGAGGAAGCAAAGTCCATCTTGAATCACCTTTTTGAAGTTCAGCAAACCAAAAACGTGAGTTCCTTAACCCCGGTGTTCATAAGAAGCACCAATGTAATTTTTGAGGACTAAATCCAACCTATATTTC